GGAGGTCATGGGCGGCAGGACCGCGAGGTCCCGCAGTCCGTGTCCTCCGGGGCGAGAAAAGCCCCGTTAGTACCTGGAAGTCGGGGACTGCCTGTATACCCGGCGTATAAGATGACCCCCGATTTTTTGGGGATGTTTTTTAGCATAAAAAGTCGTCTTATACGCCGGAAAATACGGTAGGGTAATTGGCTAAACTGTTTCTGAAAGCCATCTTTTAGGTTTCATTTCTTGAAGTGTTAGGTCCTAATACTACAATAAGCTCTGTTCATAGTTCGAAAACGGTTTGGTTTAAAAAAAAAAAAAGGAAAGTGTAAATGCGTTTCCTATGTTAATCCTTTTTGAGAACTGGCATATCGGATTAAAGGTTAAATTCTAATTTTTTGAATATTTGTAACTGAATCCTCTGGAACTCCATGAAAGACTTTGGTAATATTATAAATTCTGCATGAAGTCTTGCAAAAATGAGGAATTGAATGAATGGATTGGTTAAAACCACAGTTTTAGCTCATGAACAGAAAAATAAACTCTAGAAGAAGCCAAAAAAAGCAAAATTCTTTAGATTCATCAGTAACTAATCAAGACATCGCTGTAATCTTTTTGTTGCATCATTTGTCCTCTCTTCTTCTAACCACAGTTCTATTTCTTCTATTGCTATTTGTAGTGTTATGTGTAAATATAAACTGTGTGCGATAGGGGCTCAAATACCTTTGAAAAATCTAACTCCCATTTGAAATTAGTGGGAATTGGGCACCTGATTTCCTCTTAAAAAATGGACCTAAGGGGAAGGACTTGTTTTATTTTATCTGTAGAGCATTATACATCTGTTATCAAATTTCTTGTTGTAAACTCTGCATGACAAGGTGAGATACTGAAGTTTTCCTTGCTGCTGTCATCTTACGCTTTTGCCATAGGTTCTCCCCAGCACCAACTCCGTGGTGCTACCTGCCCTCCCTGCCCTTGGTTGGTGGGGTGGGGGTAGGGGCGGCTGTTCTGCGGGGGTCCCAGTGGGGGATGTGGGCCACCCTGCAGACATGCTGCTGCTATGAAGCAGCCCCTGTCCACAGCCAACCCTGGGTGCCCAAACAGGCTGCTAGACCTAGCACAAGCCAGGACCGACAGTCTCAGCCTGTGCTGGTCCAGGACCACTGCATCTCTGAATTTTTAATGTAGTAAGAGCCATCTAGGTGCCCTCACTGAGGCTCTCTAGAATGGCCCCCTTATTGACTAATCATGTAGTTGACACAAATTGTATTGACTTCATAATTTGCCAAATATTTGCTCTTTAATATCTTTATTATATAGTACAGTAGACTTCTGATAATCGGGCACCTTTGGGCCCTAGGTGGTGCCAGATTATTGGATATGCCGCAGTATCGGGAGGTACTCCAGCGAGGGGGGCTGTGACAGGTCTGCTGGGACCCGCACTGCGTCCTGGGGTAGGGAAGGGAACGGCACGGTGAGGGGTCAACCCTCTGCCGTTTTGCAGGAAGGCGGGGCAAGCCCTGTGCTGCTGCCGAAAGTCCCCGGAAGGGGAGCGGGCTCCCCACCCCCCAGACTGCATTAGTTATCACGGGTAAAGCCCTGTGCGCCGTCCGAAAGTCCCCGGAAGGGGAGCGGGCTCCCCACCCCCCAGACTGCATTAGTTATCACTGAGCAGGGGGATGAGGGGCGATGCTGCGGGACCAACCTGACAGCACCCCAGTTGCTCTGCTCCTCCGCTTCCCCAAGTCCGCCGCTGCCACTGCTGAAACTGATGAGCAGCAGACTTGGGAAAGCAGCAGAGCAGAGCAGCTGGGGTGCTGTTGGGTTGGTCCCGCAGCGTTGCTCCTCACTCCCCTGCTCAGTAATAACTAGTGCAGTCTGGTGGGTGGGGAGCCTTCTCCCTTCCCAGAAGGCTGCGCTGGGCTTCCCCCACCTTCCTGCAAAACGGTGGAGGGTTCGCCCCTTGCCGCGCCATTCCCTGCCCACCCCCGGCCGGACACAGTGCGGGTCCGATCAGACCCGTCACAGGGGTATAATCCCCTTTCCCTCTTCCCTTTCCCAGCTGCGAGCGCCCATGGGGCTCACAGCAGCTCCAATTGTCCGGCTGGCCCGAGCACTTCCAGGTTCCAGTTGGTGCCGGACTATCGGGAGTGCCGGACCACTGAATGCCAGACAATTGGAGTTTTACTGTATATAGTTTATGCATATTAAGAATAAACTCTACAGCTGCTAATTTTTTTTCCTCCTGACTATTACTTGAAGTGACGACAATTAGAACAATAATGTACCACACGTTGTCTCCCAGGTTTACTAAATTGTCTGGAAGATTAGAGATAGCTTGTTAACATTACAGTTCCAGTTTAGCTATAAAACTTAAGGTAACTGGACTAGATTATTGTTAAAAACCTCTTTGGAGTTATAGACTCATAGACTCATAGACTTTAAGGTCAGAAGGGACCATTATGGTCATCTAGTCTGACCCCCTGCACAGTGCAGGCCACAAAATCTCACCCACCCCTCCTAGAATAATCCTCTCACCTATATGTCAGATATTGAAGCCTTCAAATACTTTGAAGACCCCAAGATGCAGAGAATCCTCTAGCTGTGATCTGTACCCCATGCTACCGAGGAAGGCGAAAAACCTCCAGGGCCTCTGCCAATCTACCCTGGAGGAAAATTCCTTCCCAACCCCAAATATGGCGATCAGGTAAACCCTGAGTATGTGGGCAAGACTCATCAGCCAGATACCCAGAAAGTTCTCTATAGTAAAGTTCCAGAGACGATAAAGATTCCGTCCCACAAGTCACCAGTACATTGACATGTGTTTATTTAAAGCTAATGCATCTGGAGAGTTGATCAGGTTTGACCTATTTGTTGGAATTTTTCAGCTGAAATTCCTGTAACAGAATGTAGACGGAGAATCTGATGCAGAGGAAAACTGATTCTTACAGCTTTTGTATTGTGTAGAAGACAGCTATTGTGAACCTCAGTGTTAATAAATAACTCAGTGGCTCAAATATTGCCATTCTCCATTACAGGTGTAATTAGTGTGAATGTGGAAAAAAACTCTTTTTTTTTTTTTTTTTTTTTTTTTTTTGTAACAGTTGCAAGCTAAATGTGCTGACCTGCAAGCAGGCTGCAGTGAAGCAAAGAAGACATTAACTGAGGTAATCTTTCTTTGTTCTTCCTCTGTAAAATGTAACATTTGTTCTGCATACCTCTTCAGATGACACATAATGCATATACAGGCAGTCTCCTGGTTACATGGATCCGACTTACATCGGATCCCTACTTACAAACGGGGTGAGGCAACCCCGCACTAGCTGATTCCTCCCAGCAGACCAGGGAGACGCGGAGCAGCTTTTCTCAGCAGACACCTCAGCTTGAGAATAAAGGACTGAGGGAAGTGAGGTGTGGGAGAATAAAACTGAGCTCTGGAGAAACGTTTGGCTAGAGTTTCCCCTACAATATGTACCAGTTCCGACTTACATACAAATTCCACTTAAGAACAAACCTACAGTCCGTACAAACCTATCTTGTACGTAACCCGGGGACTGCCTGTATCAGGATTAAAAGAACAAACTTGGAGTGTGTGCGCATGATGGTAGTTGGTAATATCAAACTTATAACACTACTTTTGACATCCTTTGTTTTCTGAAGTTTGACATTTAATATTAGACAGACACACGTTTTATTTCTTTGAAACTGGTATTGACCAGCTAGATTCCTAATTTTTTAATTGCTGTCTAGACAAAATATAAATGTGGAGTGGGATTTTGAAAAGCTTTTAGCATTGACCTAACTCTGCTCCTACTGAGTAGTATTTTGAAAATCAAGCCAAAGTATCCTAATAATATTAATAAAGGGGATTTTTTTTCTGATCATATTTGGGACACCGAGGAGAGTAATTCTGGTGGAGAGTGAAGTGGGAACAGGATCTAAACACATATTGTAATATGGAAACTACTAGAATTGTGGCTTATGAAACAAACTTGTCTTATTCTGTTGAAACTGTCTGTTTAGTTATTTGCTGATGCATTCTGTTGGTAGCCTGCATGGTTTGGGGGAGATAAAGCAGTAAAACACAGTGGATGGTCACAAGTCCAGATGAGATTGGAATATCTCTCGAGTCCTTCAAAATAAACACATACTTTTTAAAAAACCTGAATTTTACTGGACCCTCCGTGTCTCTGGATTAATAATAGAATATACAGAATCTTGGTCATTGGTTTGAATTTTAGCCCATTTTAGTCAAGGCTAAAGAATGTTTCCATCTGATAGCTGTTTGATATCTAATGTGACATGCATTCCAAGTAGGTGGATGTCCACATCCCCGTCTCCAATGATTAATTCAGCAGTAAGATTAAGAATTAAATGGGCAGAGAGAGATTCTGTTAACATCATTCCAGAGCAGCGTTGAGGCATGTTGATGGAGAGGATAACTGGTATTTTTGCTGCTGTGGAAATGTGTTTCTGCATCCAATGCACTGGATTTGGTAGAACTGCTAATACAGTACCATAATGTCTTAACTAGGCACTTAATCCAGTGCTGTTTAATCTAAATACTAGGAAATGAAATTTCATTTTGTCAAAATATGATGTTTTTTTTAATCCAGAATGTTTTAATGAGGTTTTTGTTGGGCTAGATTTCTTGATTCAAGGGTTCTCTGGTCACCTGAGATTTTCACCTCTCAAAGCACACATTTTGACACCATTCCATTTTATGAAAATGTTCAAAAGCTTTCTGTTTCCTTCCCATGTGGAATAAAAACAAATTTTGAAAGCTGCCTCAAAATGGTATTGTCATCTGGATAGTTCTACTAAATACCATGCAGTTTACTGGGCTTGGAATTTTGGGTGGGATCCCTAAAACAAATGTCTTATCTGTTATGTGTGTCCATTTAAAGATCCCATCTTTTTTTGTACAGGTTGAACTTCTGTAGACTGAGAGTCTCTAGTCTGGCAGCATCTGTGGCCTGGCAGTACCACGGATGTTCCAGGACCAGAGAGTTCTGTGGAGGGCTGGTGGCTAAGAGCACAACAGGCTGCCAGCAGCAGGGCTGCCCAGTAGGGCTGGGAGCCCAGTGCATACCAATAGGGCTGCCCAGCAGAGTCGGGATCCTAGGCTGTCCGGCATTGCAAGCAAGTGGGGGCAGAGATTGTCAGGACAGTGGTCTGGGACAAGGAGGGGAGCCAGTGTTAGGGGGCGACATATGACCTCCCCTAGTCCAGCAAAATCCCTCATCTGTGACTGGTAAGGCTCCGAGGGTGCCAGACCAGAGGGGTCAATCCTGTTTAATAAATGACTGTCCCCACAGCACTGACCATACTTCCCTTCACATATGGGCTGATTGCATTCTATCAGGTAGCAAATATTGTGCCCTTTCAGGACAGAAGATGCTATGCACATGTTAAGTATTCATCATCTCATCTGGAGACTCTTCCCTCCACAGCAGTCAGTATGTCTGTAGTGCACTGTGAGCCCAGGTCTGTAGGACTCTGTGAATCAAAACCCTGGTTTGAACATACTGCATTGTAAACTTGGATTTACAATTGCTGGACCAGAGTACCTCAGCCATGCTGACATGTCCATGCTACCCTATGTGGACCTTTTGATTTGGGTCTACAGCTTGTGCTGCATCCACCCTGCAGAATAACTATCTATGCTTGGTCCTCAGTCCAGTGGGAGTTGGGCTCTGACCCACATGATTAGCAAGGGACTAAAAACCTTGGGTCCCTGAGTATTAGACCTGAGTCTGGTTGATTTGTATGTGGACATAAAGGGGGATTGGCCTCAAACCTGAATTAGAGCCTAGGCTTTCCGTGCAGAGTAGTCATACTAATTTGATGACCTCTTCTGTGAAAGTTAGGGTTACTAATAGGGGGAGAAAAGAGAACTGCATGTTGAACCGGTTTAGTCTGGCATCCTTGGGACCTCATCAGTGCCAAACCAGAGAATTTGCCGAACCACAGGAGGTCAGTATTGACTAGCAGAATTACTTCCACTGCCTTCTGGCTCTTAGAAGACATTTAGAGGTAAATTAGAGCTGAACAACATCACAGAAGACCGACAGCCAGAACTGGTGGCTGTAAAAAAAACTTCAATGGACTGTGGGAAACTTGGCGACACCCGTGATAAGTGGACATCCGGCTAACTTAAAATCATGCTATACCATGGATGTTTCCAGACCAAAGTGTGCTAGACTACAGACGTTCAGCCTGTAGTGGCAGAAAATCTCTGTAGAGGCTATTAAATCAGAAGACCAAAATTAGTAAAATACAGACTAGTCTATTAGTTCTTTTTAAAGATTAATCTGCAGTGCAATTTCAGAACAGTTGGCATTTGGATCTATAGTGTTGGTTTCATAATCTGGTATAAATTTGCTGTAATATAGAGCTTTTTTATTTGGATTTATATACACCTCAACATCAGGTTACCAGGGAAATGAGCAGAAATGTAATTGTAACACCATATTAAATGTGGAGAGCAAAGAAAGAAAGTAAGTCTGTGATGCCATGGAAACATAGCAAAAATGTGCTTAGATGTTAACTATAAAGTTTTTTAATGGCTTTCCTAACCCTTTATAGATTCTGATTGTAATGTTTGTTTAAAATATTAGGAAACTTAGTTTTATTTTGAAGTCTTGGATCATTGTAATGAACCAGTTGCGGGTCTCTGTTATAATACATGCTTCTTGTGAAACATTCTATACTGCCCATGACTGAAGAATCTAAAGTAATAAGGTTCATTTCCATAGAAGAGATTACAGCTTTAGCTAAGGGTTTGACATATAGGCCACTGACAGAAATGGGTAACTGAACTAGATTTATCACTCCGGTGATTCAGTGTGTCAGTTTGTTTTCCTTCTTTTTTGCCAGTCATGAAGAATAGATTATCTATGTGCATGTATGTCTTTTTGTTTAGCAGTTTGCATGTTTGCAAGTTCAAATTTACAGTATTCAGCTCTTGCTGCAATCATTGGTGACATGCTGGATCTTTAGGCACTAGGGGAATACTATTAATATAATAATCTCAAGTTTGAGGGGCATTGGAATACTCTCCCTCTAAGTAGTTACCACCACCAAACAGACTCAATACCTCCCTGATAGATATTCACAAACCTTGATATGTATGGGTCTTAGTTCCAGGTAGCAGCCTGGGTGCTATAGCACTTCTAGAACCTCAATGAGTAGAAATGGAAAGAACTCACTTAGAGGTATTTGGCCCTTTCAGACATCGATCTGGTGCCAACAGTACAGTCATTCATATCTGAATCTGAGAAGTTGTATTTATTCTCAAAGAAAATCTGAATACTTACTGCAACAGGAAATAATGCCATTGTCTGCCCGTGAAACTGCATCTTAGAATTTTGAGTTGTTTGTGGTTCACCTTTAAGGTTTGTCTCTCTACTCAAGCTGTTCATTGATGAAACTGCACCGCATGTCATGCATGAATCCCTGCTAGTGCCATGGAGATTCCATCCCTAGTTCATCATCTTGATAGGTTTCCTTGGTTTGGGGGCTTTCACCAACTTAGCAGGGGCAAATTAATCTTCGATTATAGTTTGTAAGCCCATCTGTATTGCTGAAAGGTAATATAAATTTAATATTTTCCTCTTAGTTTCTGTTCCCATGAGAAGTAGAACTGTATTGTAAAATTGCATAATAGGGTAAATGTGTCCATAAATCACACATGTAAAATTCATGTTAACAGCAGAAAATTCCTTTGTCTCTCTCATCACTGTACAAGAATATAGCACATTTATTGCTAGATTGCACCACTGAAGAGTAGTCATGGGAGGTGGTACAAGTTGTAGACACTTCTCCAATGAAACCTTTTCTAGGTTAGATATAAAAGCTGGGACATTTATATCATTAATTTGTCCACTCTAATACCTTCTGATGTTCTAGTCCAGACCAAGCTGTTGTATTTCAGCATGTGCTCAGCTTGGTTGAGGTAAAGCTTTAGCTCCATTCTGATCTTTAAGTTGCTCAGCATAGCTTGTACAAAGGGTTATTCATCCACCTCATTGTTACTAGGGGCTAGTAATTTACCACTGACTTCTATTAGCTACTGTAGTAGTCAGGCATCACTGGTGGTGTCCTGACAGATCTCCTGCTCCTTCAGTGATAACTGTTCTGCTGTTTGAATTCATGTGTTTGCTCCCCCTGTAAAATGTGTTGACTCTACACATTTAGTCAACATAGCAGACTCCAAGAGTACCCCCCAAAGACCACAAAATCAGATAAGGAGTGAAGGCACCAGTCCAGGTTTATTGTAGACGAGGCGTGGTCCAAGCTTCCCTGGACCAAAGGGCCTACAGTTAGGCTAACACATGTATGCCCATTACAATGGATCAGTTCAGTCAGTGTCATGGAATTGACATTGCCCCCTAGGCTAAAGACAGTTCTTTGAGATTCACTTTTATACACAGGTACAAACAAGTTAAACATCATTCCTTATGTATCAGGTTGCCACCTTCTGTTGCTTAGTTACCACCTCTTACCTCGTGCAAGGAGGGTTCAGTTACTATCCATCATGCTATCAGTTTAGACCCAGTCTTGAACCTAGAGTCAATATGCCTTACGTTTGTGGAGAGGAGGTTGGTACTGAGATGTTTCTTAACGAAGTGTTACAACCCCTCTTACAACCCCTCTGGAATGTGTTTACAGCCTGTGCTTAGTACCTCTTAGGTATGAGTGTTTCTGTAATATCAGCCCTGTTCTTGCATACTTCTGTGAGCAGCGCCTGCCTCTTGCTCACAGCTTCTCTTTGCTTTGTATTAGCGAAGTCTTGACCATTGTGCCAAGGTCTCATGCTGGGCTTATATATATATGGGCTTATGCCTTTGCAACTATAGTAAGATAGGGTCTAAGTACAACTCCTCACACACTAGTGCAACTTATTGAACCATTAAGAAGGGGAACTGTAGCAAAGACTTCCCTCATTGCTGTTTCTCCCTGACCACACCCTGCAGAGACAGATAAGTACGTTAGTAGCTCTGCTTACTGCTGTGTGCCTATACTTAAGGTTCAGGGAGACCATATAGATATGTAAAGCAGATTTTGATTCCTCTGTGTAGTGTATGTAGTCTTAATCACAGTTTTATGCTTACATAGGGGACTGTAAAAGTGCATTGGAAGAAGAAAGAACACAGAAGTCTTGCATCAGTTAGAATATTTCTGTTCTACAACCCTAGCCTGGTTTTAATTTTAAATAAGATTTTTTTAAACCTGATATATTGGACTTTCACATTTCATTCCCAGGCAAGGTTTTTATGACTGAATCATACGGCCTGAAAAAATGAAATATGACAGTTCTGCTTGTATGTAAATAGATTCCTGAATTAAGAAAGACAGGCACATTTGGTACAGTCGTAATACAGAATTTGGTAGAGCGTAATATAGAATTAATTTAACCATCTCGCTGTGGAACAGGGATTCTACATGTTGATTTGGGAAGGCAAGGTAGAGGGCAAGTGCAGTGGTCAGTAAATTCATTATGTTTCCAGGACACTCACCTGGTAAGGGAAAGAAATCTTACTTGTTAATGATGACTAAAAGAGAAAACATTCTAGGGAATTCTTAAAAGCTTTTATTTGAAGTAAATTTACCTCCTTGGCTTCATTATATAGGAAGATAGAGAAACATGAATCATTCTTTATGTGTAAATGTATTTACATGTTTTATTAATTGCATCCCTTAGGTTAAGAGTTACAGTGATAAGTTGGACAAGGAGCTGGCAGCATTAGAAACAGTGGAATCACAAGCAGATTCTAGGTATGTTTATTTATGTGACTTATAATCATTGGACACTGCTGGCTTTGGCAATGTAGCATTCAATACTTTTCTTATTCACCCTAAATGTATAATTAACATATGGCTATGAGGAATCTGTTTTTAGCTTAGTGGACAGCAGTTTTACAGTTAGACAAAAAAGAAAAGCATCTGACTTATTATGTAAGACTTATATTTTCTGTTTTGTTTTGTTCTGCAAAATGCCAACATAGTTAATTGACAATAGCCAATTTTAGAATGGCAAATAAATCTCAAACTTAAATGAATAATGTTGTTCCTAAATGAACAGTCCAATGAGTTGTGTATCTCAAATTGTTAAACTTCCATCTGCTTGATTTATGATACATGCGGCTGGCTTGTTTATTTTATCTTTAATACTCTTTTCCTCTTAATTAATAAATGGCTCATGTTGCTCCTTTTCTCTTGGACAACTTGAAATTCAAGAAGTTTGAAGATGTAGGATAAGTTATCGTTTAGAGTGCTATAAGGAAGGGGAGAGGATTTTTCAAAGTCATTAATTGAAATTAAGACCCCAGCGCCAAATGAAATTCAACAGAGTTTAGGAATGCCTATTTAAGCCTTTAAAATTTCCCCCAATATGAACACAGTCGGTAATAAAAAATGAAATTCTTCCTTTATTGCAGAAGTATAGATAATTACTGCAACCAGAAGGGCCAAGAGTGATTTGACAAGAGGATAAAGCATCCCTATCCCTTTATCTCCCTATTTAGAGCCCGAGTCTTGGGGGAGGGAGGGGAAACCCTATGCTATATACCAAATGGAGCTGCTTCTTATAAATAGAAGACTGGAGGGAAGCATCATGAAAGAATTACAGTCTGTGTACTACCAAGTCTTTGTTTTTCAACATGTCACCATGGTGATATTTGTGTTTATTTAATTTCTCAGTTGCATGGAAACATGTTTAAAATTGACCTTGTTCTAATAGCTTAGTTTTTCTTGTATTTAAATGTAGAAACTGAAAGAGTTAATGTAGTTTGCTGGGTCTTCTAATTTAGCATATTGCAGAACCTCCGAGCACTGGTGGCTATGAATGAAAATCTCAAAAGCCAAGAGCAAGAGTTCAGAGCACACTGTAGGGTAAGTGTGTGTCTCACTCTCTTTCTATCTTGCTACATAAAGATTGATCACAAATTGATAAATGTAAATGCCCACCTCCACTTGCCCTGTAGTCTGTTGATAATGTCAGATCCATTTTGAATAATGTCAACCCAGACCAGCTCTGGGTTAGCCAGAAGTGCTCACATTGGTCTTCCGATATGAATTAATAGATTGATTTTTGTATCCTTGCAAAGGGTATCTAAACTGTGGCAGAGAGAGAGTGTGTGTGTGTCTATATCTATAGCTAGATGTATAAAAGTTTAGAGTGCATCTGTCTGTGAGTCCATTTTTTCCAAAACTCCTCCTAAATGGTAAGAGGTAGGACCACTAGGTTTTGGTATGCAGCTTCCTCTTATCCTAACTTAAAAAAGGGCAGGGTTTTGCTGTGCCAGGACAACTGGCAGCCCCAAGAAAGGGACAATTTTCCATTACATGCAAAGGGAAGGGCAGCTTTCGGACGGACGCAATATAAGAGTGGCCACTGGGGACAGCAAGCCCGTAGCCCAGCCATACCACCAAGGGCTGAGGTTCTGCCATCTTGCCTCCCAGCACACCCATGAGTAGCCCTCCTGCCTCAAACCCCTTCACTCCCTCCTGTTTCTAGCCCCAAGAAAGGGACAATTTTCCATTACATGCAAAGGGAAGGGCAGCTTTCGGACGGACGCAATATAAGAGTGGCCACTGGGGACAGCAAGCCCGTAGCCCAGCCATACCACCAAGGGCTGAGGTTCTGCCATCTTGCCTCCCAGCACACCCATGAGTAGCCCTCCTGCCTCAAACCCCTTCACTCCCTCCTGTTTCTTACCCGATGACCGGAGATATGAGTTGAGGATATGAAAACTCGAAATAAAGAGGAGAAGGGAAGAGGAGAGGGGAGAGAGCATCATTAAGTATCTGGAGAACGGGTACTTAAACCTAAGCAGATAAAAATCAAAGTCAATAGATAGATACCTAAAACAGGAAGGGTACCACTCAGGGAGCTGCTAGCACCTTCAGAGGGGAGGGAGAAGAAAAAACACACTGCAGATGGGCTGGGGGGTGGGGGAAAGAGGACAGAACAGATCCCTTGTCCTTAGCCTCCTACACAAATTTGCCACATCCTCAAGGCCCCCTGCCCTCTGAATGTCCCACGAAATGCCATGTAAGTCTGCTGGTGTAACCAAGGGTATGTTGGCAGAGGCATGTAAATTAGACATGCCGACATAGTCAGTGAAGCGGTGATTTAAATATCCCCCACTTCGTTAGAATAAAAATGGCCACCGCATTGTGCCGGCTCAGCTGTTTGTCGGCGCAAAGTGGCAGTCAAGACGGGGATCGGTTGGCAAGGAAAGCCTTTGCTGATGGATCCCTTATCCTCGGTTTAAGGGATTTCCTTGCTGACCAATCCCCATCTTGACTGCCGCTTTGCGCCGACAAACAGCTGAGCTGGCACAAAGTGGTGGCCATTTTTATTCTAATGAAGTGGTGGATATTTAAATCACCGCTTCGTTGACTATGTCTGTGTGTCTGATTTACATGCCTCTGTCGGCAGAGGCATGTAGTCTAGACATACCCATAATAAAGAGTATTAGCCTCCTTCACCACATGGCCCAGAATGCCATTTAATGTTACCAATACATGTATATCATACTGTCTGATGCATAAGTTATTAGAGAAATATGGATTTGGGTTTCCTTTGTCTTTTTTTGAGAGAGAGTAAATCTTATGTTTTTTTAAATGTTTGTTTTCAAAGGAAGAGATGGCACGTCTACAACAAAATATTGAGAGTTTGAAAGCTGAAGCAGAGGAAAATGGGGAAGAGAAGGTAAACAACAAATGTATCAAAAGATTTATTTTTAATTAGTACAAGTTGAACCTCTCGGTCCAGCACCATCAGGACCTGACCAGTGGCAAACCAGAGAATTTGTCACAGGAAGTCAGTATTGTCTAGCAGCATTACCAACGCTTCCATTGCTTACTGGGCTCTTAGAAGACATTTAGGGGTAAATTAGAGTTAAATAACAGCACAGAACACTGAGAGCCAGGACTAGTGGCTATAAACAAACTTTATGGGACTATGAGAAACTTAGTCACACTCATAATAAGTGGACATCCGGTTAACTAAAAACATGCCAGACTAGAGAGTTTCAACCTTATAATCATTGGGTAATTTTCTTTCTGTTTACCCGTATGTTGTTTCCCACCTGTCAATTGGAATTGACGCACACATTTACGATTTTTGCCTAACAGATTGACTATCATGCAGGTTCCAAGGTTCAGGAATAGCCTCATTACTCTTGCTCTGCTAATTAGTGAATATTAAAAGCACTGACATTGCCTCTCCCAGGAATTATGTATTTATCTGTATTTATTGAGGTACCTAATGTCCCCAATCAAGTATCAGGCTTTCATTATACTAGATGTGAAAAAGACAGTTCTATCACAAAGACGAAATCTAAAGAAAAAAAATAAGGTGAACAAAATAAAGAATCCAACTTATATATATTTTTAATTACTGATCACAAGCTTCCCTTTTTTTTAGATAATGCTTAAATTCTATTGTTTTGTCTACTAATCAAATTATCTTTGATTGCTCAAATTTTAGGAACCTAGTAAGATTATAGATCAGCAATATAAAACTGAGAAAGATAAGCTTCAAAAGATCAGGCTACTGCTGGTAAGTTCAAAATGATTTTTTTGTTTGTTTTGGCAAACTTGGACAGAATTTTTGAAGTTTTCTTAGTTAAGCACTTAAATGTATGTCTACAAATGTTGAAAAAATTTACAAGCAGGTTCCTTTTATAATTAGTATCGTAAAGTAAATCTTGAGACTTAATTGAACTTAGTGAATATATTAATTCTCCTTTGTGCAGTTATTATTTTATTAGCTTACTTAGCAGGTTATTTCTAAATGTTGCTGCCTTTTATCCATTTAAAATGACAGCTGGGCCTTTTTTTCCTCCCTTTCTTTCATTCAGGCTCGAAGAAATAGAGAGATAGCTATTTTACAACGCAAAATTGATGAGGTACCCAGCAGAGCGGAGTTAACTCAGTATCAGAAGAGATTTAAAGAAATATCAAGCAGGAATGTACTCCAGAAAGCTAACCACTGGAAGGAGCGTAATCATATTATAGGCTTATGGTGCATGACAACAGCACCTGCTAATTCTGCTCTATTTAAGGGTCATTGGATTTTCGCATATTATACTCCCTTTTCAAGGTTTTATGAACTAACTATAAAAATTCCCTTGAGGTTGAAACTTGATACACAAGATCACTGGAGTAATTGTTCTTTTGTTTGCAGTAGGTTCAGTCTTTTGGATCAATGATGAGTGTTTAGAAAACCCTTTTCCCTTATTTTATGGGGA